TTAAATTTGACGACAGTTCAAAAGCAGTCAAAAAGAATGAAAAGTCTTCAAGGTTGGCAATTAAAACTTTGAACATAGCCAAAGAAAAGAAAGGTGATCTGCGTGAAGTGTTAAAGTATGATCTTACTAGATATAATCCTCTATTTGATGGCCTGCTTATGGAGAAGCCCAGAAAACATGAAATGTCTGGAGAAGTAGAAAACCGTGCAAAGCTGACAGTAGACGATTACAACTACCTTCCAGGTGAAAACAATGCTGTTGTTATTGACTTTATGTCTTTCATCAGAGGCCAGAATCTTGACAAGGCTGTTCAAGAAGCTTCCGCGCCACTCTGTTTTAATCTAACCTGGAAGCATGTCTCTTGGACATTCGGTTCCATGATTGCTGAAGCGTTTGCAAGAATTTTGAAGAACAACCCAACTGCCGAGGTGTTTCATATCATATTTGATAGCTATCTTGACTCATCCTTAAAGAGTGGTGAACGACGAATAAGGCTTGCCGAGACTAAGGGTGTGATCAGGCTTGCTATGATTAACGAAAACACAAAGGTACCGGAACAAATGGGGAAGTTTTGGCCTCTAAGTGATAATAAGGTGAAATTCCAACGATTCGCCAAGTCATATTTGCTTCATTTGGCCAAGCGAGTAAATAGACAATTGATAGTTAGCGGCACTGTAGATGGAGAAGATTCGATTCCAGCTCAACATCTGAACAGCGCTATGGATATTGCTGAAATAAGTGAACTTCAACTGCCATTTGAAGAGGCGGATATGAGGCTAATACCTCACATTCAATGGGATGTCATTAACTGTTTACGGTCTTCAGTCACTGTTATTTCTGATGATACTGATGTCTTGATACTTTTGTTGTTCTACTTCAAACATTTCAGTCAACAAGGACTACAAAAACTGTACCTTCAGAAGGGCCGAGGGAGTAACAAAAAGATGTTTCCTATACATACAATGTATTTGAACCTGGGGGAACAATTCTGCAAGAATCTTTTGAAAGCTCATTTGGGTACAGGCGCTGACTACCTAAGTAAGATAGGGACTAAGAAGAGCAGCCTTAATGCTAACCCGGAAGTTGCATTAAAAAAGTTCGGAGAGAAGTTTACCCTGGATGACGAGCAAATTCAAGAAGCTGAGCAGTACTTAGTGAAGGTTGCTGCAAGCTGCAGGAGCACGTGTCTAGCCAAAACCTTTGATGAGCTCAGGGTACTAACTTGGAAGAGAACCAGTTCAGTTCTTGAATTAGAACCTACTTCTCACTCTATCATAGAAGGACACATCAAACGATGGTGGTTTTTGTACAAGGTATGCAGTGATCTTTTAGCGATGGATTATACCCACCTGGAACCAACAGATTTTAGTTGGGTAGATAACGAAGGTGAACTGTTCCCTTGCAAGAACTTGAATTTACTACCTGACGACCTGTTTAAAACTTGCAAGTGCAAAACAGGTTGTCAAAAGAAAGTATGTTCATGCTTTAGAGCAGAAGGACAATTAAAGTGTACTGACTATTGTCTTTGTGTCAACTGTAAGAATAGATAAATTTTAATTGCAGGTTACCAATACTTTGTTTCTTGATTTTGACTTCTTTTCTAAATTTGATAACTTGCTTTATAATGTCGAGTTTTATTTGAACAGCTTGCTCACCTTAGATAGCCCCTGAGAAGCATAATTTCACGATCAATCATTTTCTCGTGTCAAAATACCTAAGGTTTGATATCCCACATGATGCTAAACAAAATTTGAAATTTCATCATTTTGCGCCAAAAATGGCGTAAATGGGCGTGGTTAAGGCGCCACTTAAGTTCAATTAATTATATTTTACCTTGTTTATGTTCAAATTATACTGACAGTATCATAAAAATCCATTTAGAAACCTTCATCAAATAATATAGGCAAATTTGGATAATTTTGGTCAAATTTTTCCCACACTTTAAAAAGGGCGTGGTCACGGGTTTAAACAAACATAAAAAATTATCCACCCAAATTTTTTTTGAAGTAGAGACCCTGGGGAGCACAAATAACATCTCAAACCTTCTAAACTCGCTAAGTTGTGCCAGGTTTTGACCAGATACTCTATTAGCAGGGGTTCTTGAAGTTTTTTTTTTTTTTTTTTTTAAACAAATTTAAATTTTGGTATTTATTAATAATTAAATAAAGCCGCGCGTTGGTTGACTGCCTCAGTATGGTGAATAATTTAAGCTTGAAGGTGCCCTGCGCATTTACAGAACATTATGCGGCGATCACATGATCACGAGGACCTGTGAGCGCCAAATTTAATTTAAACTTTCTAGAAATCGTACATCACTACGAGTTACTCATGCTTTTGAATTATAGGAGTGCGGATTGTCAGGTATTTCATTCATTCATACTTAATCGGTTTAAAGCTGTATATTTAGAGCTCACTATTGTCTGAACTATGAAAGCAGAACGTAAATAATGGACAATATACCGACGACAATACCAAGGACCCGAGTGCCGCATTGACTTTTCCGGATCCGTTTTTACCGAAGGCTTATCCACCAGTTACTCATGCTGCATGTATAGTATAGTCTGATAATATTTTGTTTTATCTCTAGCAAGCATTCTGTAAGTTGGAGTGTCGTATTTATTATAGAGAAAGGAAGCTTCACACCTTTAGTGTTCTCGACTTCTGGTGGAATGGGTAGTGAGGCTGAAAGACTGGTAAAAAAGCTGGCCAGAAAGATGGAGTACCACACTGGCCAGAGGTACTCGGATGCTTTAGGTTACATCAGAAAGCGCCTTCGCTTTGAAATCCTAAGAACAACAGTGATTTCTCTCCGTGGAGACAGAGGTGCGAGAAAAAACATTGTTAATATAAACAGTCTAGATCTTAACTTGGAGCCACAAGGCCAAGGGTAATTTTTGAGTGTTTAGGGAATTTTTTATATTCTTAAAGGTTTGTTTTTATATAGGGTCATTGCTATATTATGTGTATATTGTTTGAATAATTTTATATATTATTAAGTCGCTTTTATGTATTCCTACGTCGATCATTCTTCTTTCTAGCTATGAGGTACTCTATCTGTTGACAAACCTATTGTGAATGTGAGAAATACAGCCAGGGTGAAGGTAGCCCTCCACGTTCAAAACTCTCCACGTATTTATCATTGTTCTCGTTCTCTTCGTAGACTTCTTGGAGAGTCTTCGTATTGCTTGATCAGCAATTAGGATATGAAATCCTCATGTGAAGGAATGTCATATCAAGGTTACCTTTGTCTACCTTCTGTAGCTGAGGTTCAAATTTCATATCATAACATACCTCTCGCAGGAGATGAACCATTGTGCACTGGAAGAAAACTGAGAAAATTCAAACGATGGGAAAATTCAAACGATAAGCCATTGTGTCGCTGATGTTATTGTGGGTTATCACAACGTAGCCCCCTAGCTAACATGTAAAGAGGTGGTCACTTGTTTTTCCACATCCCAGTCTTTCCTTTCGTTAATAATCAGGTTACTAGCTTGTTGTTTCTTTGTTGCTGCTTTCTTTTTCCATGTGCTATAATCAGTAGTGTCGTCTAAAACTGGTATCTCGCGATGACTCATAGTAGACATCATGGGGTAGGGATGAGGTTGTATGAGTCTTTTGATAAGAGGGTTCTCATATTTTTTGTCCATTTTCTTGCCTCTAGATCTGTAGCCTCATAGAGGCTAGATATAGAAGTAGAGCAATGAGCCTTGGCTCACAGGTCGGCTAATCTTTGGATTTGGACATGCCTCCAGATGTGAGAAATACAGTCGGGGTGAAGGTGGCCTTCTCCACATTCAACACTCTCTCCAAGTAGCCATCCTTCTTCTCCTCGTTCTCTTCATATACGTCTTGAAGAGTTTTTATGCTGTTTGATTTAAGCAATTTGGGTGTGGAACCCTTATGTCAAGAAAGTTCTTATCAAATGGACTCCATACTCTTGTGAACACATCCTGTAACTCAATCAAATCAAGGCTAAACCGATCTCTTCTAGATGCCCAAAGCAGGTTCGATAATGAGTGGCATAATGACAACTTTAACAGTTTTGGACCATGCTAGATTATTGATAAAAACGTGGAATTTATGTAAACAAATACTTAATTACTTAAATATTGCCGTTTCCGTACGGCGCTATACGTAATGTATGTTAAAAGCGCGCCGCAGCTACTCCCTACCTCAACATTTGCGCGGGTTTCTTAAGCGCGCACGTACGTTTATTCTTGGCCGTTAATCAGACCCATGACATAACGCTATAGGTGGCAGTGACTGTAATTTTCTTCAACAATTACTGAATTATCCATCCATAAAGTGATTTACAAAATGACACCTAAACCTCGTGTTTCGGTGTTCACTTAAACGGTACTTGGCGGCTGAACTGTGGTGTCTGACGTTTGCAGCTAGATCGGACTCTGCATGATATTGTATTAGCAAATTTGTATAGTGTATAATTGTTTAGTGTTTATAATACTCTGCAACCTGGTAGCACGGCTGACACAAAAACAAAATGTTGGCCTGGCTTGTGCATAACCAAGTAAATAACACGCACTCCAATAAAAGCCGTCTGGAGAAACTCCGCAAAATGTTCATTGTAGTCAACGGGCACAAAGAAGCACTACTAGCAATTGTGTCCTTTACCCTCCTACATAATTTGAACATTTTTGTGGCTAACTCATTGAACAACATCTGAATTAAAATGTGTCTAGTATTAAAAGATTCAGTAAGTAATTTTTTCATGTACGCTGTACACTGTAGTTAGTAAATCAAATCAAACTTTTTCGATCAGCCGCGCGCTGAACCAGTGTTGCACTAGGTAAAAATTGTGTATATTTTGTTCATTTTTGAGTGTAAATTAATTTATTAATTTATCACAAATTATTTTATTATAATATAACCACTTATGTGAAATGGTTATTTTGACTTTAAATATTTGAACTAAATATGAATTGATTGTGGGTATAAAATAAAATTTGTTTTACTAATTTGTTTTAAACTAATTACAACACTACAAATCTATTACATTTATTGAGGTATGAGATATGATAGACGAGCGTAAGTGTTGACGTGCAAAGGACTGCTGTGAGTGTACTTGAAGATTACTCATCCTCCTCCTTCTCATCAAAACTATTCTCATCAAAACTACTATCTGGACTGAAGGTATTGCGTTTACAGTGTTTATTGTGCTTCTGAACATTGAACTCTTGATAATATAACTATGTCAAATAATCAGAGCTCAGACATTAGTCTCCACTTTTGTGAGCGCCCTTTAGAACATTTGAACTTTTCATTCCAGTCTGAAAAATCAGAGAACTGTAACAATTGTCTGTCAAAAGACATCAAGATTGACTTTTTAGAAAAAAAGTTGTCTTTATTGAATGAAATTATCAGAACTAGTGATCTCATTGCTCAGTACAATGATAGTCTCATATCAGATCAAACTCAAATACAAGAACAGAGTTTTAAGTGTGAAAATTTGCTGCCGAACTTATCAGAGGAGATTGAATGTGAGATCATAACCATTACCCCTCAGTCACACGTTGTTATCAATCAAGTAGAAGCGTTTGATGTAGATGACATTGTTGTGGAAGATGTTGTATCGGACAGTTTGTTTGTTGACAACGATGACGTGGACAAGGTTGTTCCACAGGAGGTTGTTGGAAACGAGATTGTTATCAGTGAGATTGTTGTTAACGAGGTTATGGCAGACGAGGATGATGTGTCTGATCTCCCTGTATCTACTGCTACTGGTGAATCACGGATCAACACCCCTAAGCCCAGAGACAAATATCCAAACTTGGTCCCTGCCCCTGTCTACGATCCTATAACACCGGGGCCAATGAATATATCTGTAACTTGTTCCCCATCACCAGTGAAACCAGTTACCCTACTAGATGATGGTCCATTCTCTAAATTTTCACTTGATCTATTAATGGAAGAACTTGAGTTCAGTCACGGTTTTAAAAACAGGAAATCGGTTTATTTTGGTGACTTTCCCTATGAGTATTCAGGTGCAACACATGACCCAAAAAGTGTACACAATGATTCCTACCTTGCTAAACTCAGCTCCTACATTAATGTGATATTACCCAATTTCAGACACAATAGTATTCTCGTCAATCTATATGAAACTGGAGCAGAGTTCATGCCAGCTCATAGCGATTCTGAATCATGTATTGTAGAACACTCTGATATTGTAACCATTTCACTTGGTGCGACGAGAACACTGCAAATTAGATCAAACGGCAGCAATGAAGTTGTTGGCTCTGTGCAGCTTCAGCATGGAGATGTCTTCATCATGTCCAAATTGTCTCAGGCTGACTTTCAACATGAGATACTGCCAGACGAAATGTGTGATGAACCCCGGATCAGCATCACCTTAAGACTGATGAAGCCCCCTAGGATCACTCAGTCAACTGAGTTTGGTCTGCGTTCACCGCCCCCACCCATCCCTCATTCAGGACACAAACTGACAGACTCTTCTTCACCTGCACTCTCAGTTTGCAAACAGCCAGCCAAAGCTTCACAAAAGTCTGTCCTATTCATAAGCAGCTCTATGTTCAGGTTTCTTGATGCGGACAAGTTATCATCGTCCACTGTTAGTGCTAGTAAACTGTTTTATCCTGGGGCTGATGCCAAAGTAATGTTAAATAAACTAAAAACTGACCTACACTCCGTTCCATCCCCATCTATTATTTATATTATGACAGGAACTAATAATGTGAACACAGTCTATTTTGGCTCAAAGTCACTGAAGGATGCAGCGGGTGACATTAGTAATCTCTTAAATTATCTCAAGTCAGTGTATCCGAATGCAACAATTAATGTTCTCAATATTCTTCCCAGGAGTACAAAAGGCCGCAATGATGTTGTGGCAGAGCTGAATAAGATTATTAAGGATATGTGTAGCAAAGATTCTTGTTTTAATTACATTAGCACCCATAATTTATTTAACTATAATAGAAGTGGATTCAGGAAAGAATTTTATTTTGCCAGACCATCTGCAAAAATATCTGATAACTGTCACCTCAATACAAGCGGTGTTATTCGACTTGCTAAATTTCTGAAGTATTGGGCCCATAAGCAAGTTTGAATTTTCAGAAAGATTGTTAACATTTATTTCATCTAGATTCTAGATAAGGGATAATTACACATTGTTCCTCATGTTTATTGAAGTTTTAGAAAGTTTTGTTATTATCTCATACAAATTTGCCAGTTCTGCAATTTATCTTATTCTGACAAGTTTATAGCAGCATAAATTGGAAAAATTTTCATGCTCTCACAGCAGTTCTTGCATTAACCCGTGCATTAGTAAAATCACAGTTTCATACCATGCCAAAAAGCTTGCAGTGGGACATTGCAACATGCAGGGAGGACTAACAGGTATGCCAAAATGTCTTGAAATCCAAGATCTAATCTGGAAAGAGAAATTAGATGTTTTATGCCTGAATGAAACAAATCTTAAGTCGGATATTGACTCAGCCAGTCTAAACCTACCCAAGAATTTTACTTTTATCCGCAAAGACCGTCCTAACGACAATGGTCATGGGGGATGTGGCATTCTCATCAGTGAGCACATAAAGTTTAAAATGATTCAACTAAACTTAGTTTTGCAATATGACCAAATCGAGGCTATTTGGATCCATCTTACAGATTGCAATATTTTCATCTGCTGTTTCTACAGATCTGAGTTGTTTAGTCCTCTTGACAAATTTTTAGATTATATGACAGACTGCATGATGAGTATAGGAAGTAAGAATGTTATTTGGCTGGGTGATGTAAATGTAGACCAAAACAACATCAGCAGTATGAACTATAAGAAATTAGACATTACAATGAAAATGTTTGGAATGGTACAGGTAGTTCAGGATATTACCCGCATTGCTAAACTAGGAAACAGAATCACAAAGACCACAATCGATGTTGTCATAACAAACACTTACTCCAAGTTTCTTGACTGCAAAGTCCTTGATGATTGTATAGGAGATCATCAGGTCGTAAAGTTCATTGTCGATTTCAATGTGCATAAGGCCTCAAAATTCAAGAAGTTACTAATAAGAGATCACAGCAAAATGAATGTTACTGCTCTTAAAGAATTTTTGGAAACCTGTGATTATAGACCGATAATAGATTCAACTAGTCTGAATGATGCAGTTGATGGTTTAAACGAACATATTGATCACTACTATGATCACTTCTGTCCAATTAAACAAATTAAGTGCCATAGTGATTACATCCATAAGCCATCTCCAGAATTTTTAGATAGTAAGAAATTGAAAGGGAAACTTTTTTTAATTCAATAAAGTGAGACAGTAACACTAGTGGATGATAGAAACATAAACTTCAAACGAGGAATACAAATCAAGTCAGACAAAGCCTCCTGGAGTTTCTGCCATCCTGTAAATGGTATATAAGATTAACATCAGTCCTCTTTTAGTTTTTCTTTCTGTTTCTTCACGGTATCCGGCTTTATTAGGCGATCTTCACGGATACCAGAACATGTAGCAGGAGAACTTATTCGTTAGGCGTTGGCAGCTGTTTAGAAATGCTTCTTCTGTAGATCTTTATAAATCTTCTTTCTTCTGTGTATAAATGGCCATATGTGAATGATGATTAAATGAGATGGGTGTGATATGAGGATAGATTATGCAATCCTCTCAACTAACTTAAAAGCCAGTGGTAATGAACCAAAACAAACAAATCAATACCAGCTCCACAAAGAGTTATGCAGGCTAAAAGGCTGCCTCATAAAGGAGGACTTCAGAGGGAGGTTAAACAGGTGTCTCAACTGACTAATATATATCCCCTTTTCATTTTTTTTTTTTTTTTCATTTTTTTTTTTTTTCAGTTATACTAAACACAGTTCAGGTTACTGACCGGGACTTCGGATTTTTATATTATCATTTTACAACAACCCAGGGGAACCAGGCTATTGGCCGGGACTTCGGTCTTTAAATTATTATTATTATTATTATTTTTTTTTTTTTTTTTTTTTTTTTTTTTTTTTTAAGTAAACATTTTTATAAACATAGCAAAACTAGTCAAATAACTTAGTTTGCACTTTAAAAATCCCATGAAACTCACACGCACTGATTTTAAAAACTAATCTGCAAAAGTAAAAAATAAAGATTCTGACTCAAAACAAAAATGACATTAAAATGTATGAAAAAGCTAAAAATATAAATGATAAATCCATAAATAAAAAATAAATTCGATGTTCACTCTTTAAAAATACTAGTCCCTCTCAAAACACATACGCAGACTTTGAGAACTAGGCCCTCTCTTAGTCAAAACATCAGCAGGCATCGTCCTTGAGGGCATAAAGTTAACAGTTATTTCACCCTTCTCAACCATTTCCCTTAGTGATGCCATGGTAACTATCAGTCTTTTTTCAATGGGGTCCTTTGTCTTCTGTACAAGCTCTAGAAGTCCTTTATTGTCAATAAAACAGTCTATGGTCACATTTAAAGAATCTCCCAGTATTTGTTGTAGTGTTTGCTGAATAAAAATGGTGTGATCAGCCGCTTTCAGGAGTGCAAGGCTTTCAGCGGCTAAAGTACTGTAACAGACTCTGTCCAACTTTACAGATTTCCAACAGACAGGGTTTTTGACTCTACCATCTTTATCCGAAATAAGTATCAGATACCCACACTGACTACCATTGTTACTAAGATTTCCAAACGATGCATCACAGTATGTAAGTAGTCTTACTCCATTCTTTATGTTAGGCAGTTCTCTGAAGGTCAGTGGGGCATCTTCATCAGTTTTAAGCTTTTTGACTATCTTGTTGTGAAGCATTATGTCTGAGACGTTGGGATCTTTCAGATTATTGCTCAACTGACAAGCATCAAACGAAATATCTGGTCTGGTTTGGACAGATAACCAGATAAGTTGTCCAACACCTGATCTGTACTGTACATACTCTTCGTGAGTCAGAGCATGTGTTTTCTGGCTTCTTCTGTTACTTGATAGTCCTATGGTCTTTAAAGCACTGATATAATCTGACTGTCCAACAGTGATTTCATATGAGATT